TGAAGAGCTCTCGATCGAATTTCTCAATAACCTTTAGAATCTATGAAAATGAGTTTCATGTCGAGAGAAAGAATCGAGAAATTGGGGACATATGCGAGAACTCATCCTTCCAAAATCAATTCTCAAGGTTGAGAGAAAGATAAGTAAGAAACCTCATCACGAGGTGAATTTTTTATCTCTAGCTCTTCCTTGCAATATTGTTTTCAAGTTTCATGAAGAAATTGAAGGGTTGTAGAAGACGATTCTCAGAGCAACCTCGCAACAGGCCACACACTTCTTCCTCTATCTCGAGGAAGAAGATAATGATAAACTCAATTCAGACCGATTCTCATAAAATTCTTTATGGTTATCAAAACTACACTAAAATATGGATCTACCAAAAAAAATTTGAAGCAATTCAGATACTCGAAACTCGAGAACCAAGGACCCGAACTTCAATGATAAAGTGAGTAGCAATCTTATACTATTCTTATGAAATACATGCAACAATCAATTTGAATGCAATATGAACCTTAAGTAATTTAGATTTAAATGAATATTGAAGAAAACAGTATAGAACCAAAAGTTAAGGACCTAAACCAAACGTTTTGCTCGAGAATCTAATAACGTTAAAATAATCTATCAAACGAACTTTGTTACCCATGAAATTTTAATGGTAGGCATAATATGATAAGTTAGGGTTATATATGAAATTTGGTGATCATTGGATAAGGATAAGTAGCTAAACTAAGTATCGATGAAAAATAAATCATAATGTCCCTTAGTAAAAGATAATATAAAGTTTTTAAGCCATTGAAGCGTGTTTAGGTACTAATCCAAGATTTAAGAGTAAAATGACCAAAATTCTAATAATGATCTTTAAAATATTTTAAGACTCAACCGTTAGGATTTCTGGTGAGGTTTATTGCTCCTAAATATTTTAAAAAGTTTGGAAGAGGCAAAGAACCAAAGAAGGTAAATAACCAAAATGTCCCTATAAAGACTTTAAGAAGTTTTTATGATCCTAAGAATTGAGATAAATGATCAAATTGCCCCTATAAAAACCCTAAAAAGTTTTTATGACCCTAATGATTTCTCAAGCTTATAAATTATTTAGGTATGACCTTAAAAAGAATTTTACAAAATCTCAAAGCTTTTAGAGCACGTTAGGTGTTTAAGCCAAAGCTTGTGGGAAATGATAACGTTACATCTAACGACCCCTAACCAAGATTCAAGATCCTTCTAGAATTGTCAAAGGATACGTTATGATTTTATTATACCATGAAAAACTTATGCATATTATTATGAAAGGTTCATGACATAAGGAAAAAGAATAGAATACCTTATCTATAAAACTTAAGAATTATGCAATCGAATGAATCCCTTCAATACCTTAAAGGTTATTAAGTACCATTACTTCGGTGTGTTAAAAGATTATGTTATGCTCAGGGTTCAACTTTAATTTTAACCAATCGAGAGGCTACCCTAAGTCAAGATGAGCTCTATATTTATCTTTGATTTTAAAAAAATCATGATGATACCTCGTGGTAAGTTTGAGGATAGCCCTTTGTTTATAAGTAACCAAAGGACTACCCTTACTCAAGAAGAGCTCAAAGATTAGCACTTGATTGTTAAGCAATAAGGATATTATCTCATGTAAACCTTTAAGATAGTCCTTTGTTTTTAAGCGACGACCCTAATCCAGGAGGAGCTCAAAGTTAGCATTACTTTTAATCAATTCGAAGGCTAGCTTTTGATTTTTAAGTAATCTAGATGCTTCCCTAAATAAGAATGAGCTCGAGATGAGACTTTGACTTTTAAGTAATCAGGAGGCCACCTTAAGAACATGTATTTAGTATGCTTATCAAACCCAAACAATGAAAAGGCATAAAGAATGCTAAGAACAAAGAACCAAGGTTTTAAGACTCCAAAACCAAAGAAACCCCTATGCTAAGAACAAAGGCCCAATTCAAAAGATTTGTAATGAAATCAATGGGCTCCATGTTTGGGGGAAAAGTTTTATGGTAAGCTCTTGAAAATTCAAATTGCATACGAGTGGTCATATAATGAAAAGTGCCCATGGACAGTAAGTTGTATAGTTGTATTTCACATCTC